GTCTTTTGCTCAAATCTCTGTGGCCTCTCATCCATATGGCAAATGTTACCCAATTTGTAAAACTGCTGCTGGAAGGCATCTCACTATAGTGACTGTAGCAGTATCTCTAGAGTATAATTTATTATATGATTGTTCTGTTCTTAATGTCCTCTTAGGGCAAGAGCCCTTTGCAGTGAGCAAATGAAGCTGCCCAGCTATTAGTCATATGGATATACCTTTACTGCCTATTAGAGACCAAAACACTCCTCTTACTGTTTACTGCTGTTGAAGTGGATAAAGAAGAAACAAATATTTCAGCGTAGGCTGCAGAGTCTGTTTCATCTGCTGATGTGAATATTAAATTTCATTAGTCAATGAAGCCAAACCAGACTGCCTCCCTCCCAAGAATTAGCTGCACTTTCTACCATTAGTAAGTATCAAAAAATCCTAGAAAGGAAATTTGGGAATTATCTGTATCTCAGGAAATGTCAAGGCTCAGAAGAGAGCTCTTTAACGTTGCCCTGGGGTCTTTCTTGTCAAGTACTAAGAAACTGCTGACTTTTAGAGGATCGTCATTAATTATTTGATTACCCAAAACTTTCAGCATGATCCTCTTCAGTAGTTTGTTTCTCCCCTGGAAATGGCTCTCAAGATGGTATTCACCTGAGTCATTAAGTTGATTTTTTCAGCCACACTCTAATCATTTTCCATGAGAAGTCATTCATCATTTCAGTCCTTCCTACTTTAATGATAATTTGATCAGTGTTAGCTCTGATAAGAGGTTGACATCTAACTTGGGACACCGCTTTGCACTACGTGAAATGTTGAAGCTTCCCAATGTTGACTGTCACAAAATAGGAGCAATGAAGGAACAGGGATTTCCCTTTCTTTGCAAATGTCATTACAGGTTCTAAAGACAACAGAGTGGTGATTCATTAGAGGGGCAAAAGACAGGAAAATGCAATCCCCACAACACATCTCACCCAACAAAGGAGCACAGCAAATGTTAGCACAAAGAGAACTAGCAGAAGATGTGGAAGTTATTGACCCTGGTTCCAGGGCTGTCGTTGCTGTCAAATCCCCCAGGTGCTGTGACGTGGAGCTACCTCTGCAGTGTGTTCAAATTTAGGAGGGTGTTGCTCCACCTCACAAGTCTTTTAACACCTTTAATAAGTCAGCTACTTGGGTTATCAAAGCCTTTCTGTGTGAAAGGTCTCTGTGACTGGGAAATGCTTTTAACAAAGTAGATTTTGTACAAAAAATAAGTGTTTTTTTTAGTTTTCACCACCTTGTCTGAAATGTTTCTGTCCCAAACATAAACACAGGTTTTTGGTTTTGATGAGTATAATCCCACAAAATTGTATTCATGGTTTCTGATAGTAATTTTTTAAACAATGATTTCTTTCCCTTTGATGCTTTTAGATTTCATACAGGAAAAAAAGTAATTTCTTGGCCATTTCCACCTCTAGATACATGTACATGCAGACACATACTGTGGTTTCATATTGCCCTTGATAATCTCCCGTAGACTCTCTGTGACCAGGACGATGCCATGCACGGTTAGGATTAATCCCTTCTTCTTAAGGGAAACTCAAGTGTAAGACAATATTTTTCTGATAGCGCCTTGCACCAGAATTTCTCCTCATGTAAACACTTGTGTACATCCTATGAATAGTTAGCTCTGAAGGAATCTCCTTCTACTTGCAGAAACACTTGTGTGTGGCATGCCACCTGGCATGCATGATCCTTTCAAAAAAGGAAAATTCATGCTAGAACTAATCTCACCTTAGTATCACTTTTTCTTACGTTATACCACGAATATCACTGGGACTATGAGAAGAGCTATTTAACGCTGCAGATTTGCATAAACAAACATCCATGCCTAGCCTTGAAAAAGGGTGCCACTACCCTTTTGCCATTGTTATTCAGATTGTTTCTCTCTGTGGACTTTTATTGGCAGTAAGAAAGCAAACAGCAGCTAGCCTGTCTGACATTGCTCACAGTACCTCATCCATCACGTATCTGGAGAAAGCAACAGATTTCCCTCCCCATGGGAGCACGGACACATCCAGCTGGGCCCAGGTCACATTGCAGCGTATCAGCAAAACTCACAGCGTATTTTTAAAACCTTCCTGCTCAGGATCTGCCTAACGCTTGATCTAAGTCTGCAACAGTAAATAAAACAGTGCCAGGAAATGTTTCCCTGAACTGGAAAGTGCTCCTTTATTCTGCTAACCTGTTAACATAGCTCCCAGCATGGTATTCGCCAACTCACACTCGCACAAACAACTCCTAGGCATGGTTTGGGAGTCAGCTCAGGAATCGCTCCTGATTTGCGGTTTCATTCCTGCTGCGCCACTGCCCTGCTTGGAAGGTACATTTCGTGTTACGGCATGTGTCACGCTCTGCCAGCTGGCCTCAGTGCCAGCAAATAGTCCTGGGCATATTTAACCTACCCGAGGCAATGCAGTCGTTATTTCAAAGTGCTGTCAGATTACTCCAGTACAATAAAAGATACAGCTCCTGCCTTAGAACACTGCCCACCTGGCTGTGACCTCTGAAAACTGCAGCAGCCTTCACCTCCCGCTCTTTGGAAGTGATTAAACTTCTCCATAACTCCACTCCAAAATCAAAGATGGGGCAATGGGGCAGAGCAGTGTTGGATTACCTGGTGCGTGCAGGGTAGGAAGAGGAAAACACTGGTATGAAACAACTGGCACTCAGACAAACCAGCAGCAGGGCCTCAGGGATCTCTGCCTGTCTTCTTCAGGTGCCAAACACCTTGCCAAAGCCAGGGAACTCCTTTACCAACCACTACAAGAGAGAATTCCAACACCAACCTGATTTTTTTCAGCTTATTTTTATGGTTTTAGGGGAAAACTTGTTATTTGTTTTGAAGGATGTAAGGTTTATACTCAGACAGAGGTGTTCCAGGAAGCTCAACAAGCTGCTGTTGCAAAAGCTTTCCTTCCTCCGTGTCTTCTGAATGCAACAGAAAGTGAAAAAGCACGTCACAAGATCAGGCTAAGCATAAAAACTATTCCTCTTCTCAACTCCTTGAGCAGCCCTAGGTCTACAAGCATATCTAAGATAACCTATGATCACAAACAACAGGACTGTAATATACAAGTGCCAGGGTAAAGTTCATTTATTCCATTATTTATTGCAGGCATTTATACAATGCCTATATCCATAGTGATGCTTTACATGGCTTGGATTACAAGCAGTAGCATTTTTTAAGAAGGGGAAACTATCCCCTAGTAACACAAACTTTATTGGGGCAGAATTGGGAATTTTTTTCTGTCTGGCTGAAGACTGTGGGCACTCAAGTCTTCATGTAGCTCAGGAACAGGTACCACATCACATCTCCTGAACATCAATGGATGCTTCCTAAAAGACAGTTTGGTCCTAGACAGCCCCCTAAAGATTTGGGTTCTTTACCATATCAGTTACAAGAGTCAGTGATAAGTTATTTGAAGGAGCTTAGCCTTAAAAACACTTGATGACTGACAACATGATTCTCTTCATCTGCATCACTGGACCACTTACACACCAGGGAGGGACTTTCCAAGCTGCTGAGTTCTGCGTGCACTTCATGCTGATGAAAAGAATCACAGCCTGTGAAGACGGACTCTCAGCACCTTAAAATCCTTCCAGTCTCACAGACTCTGCTGTTCTCACTACTTAAAGTGCAGCAGCAAGAGGCTGGACTATCCGGATCAAACCTTCACGCAGATGCTGCCTCACACACTGGAGGTGCTCCCAGTACCCTGGAACTTGCACCACACTTCCAGGACACTTCAGCACTGTGCCCTGGGTGTGCAGTACACCATGAAGGAACCAAACTCCTCCAAGCTTCAGCATGGCAAGGGCTGGGGAGTTCATGGGCCCCTCCAGGCAGCAGGAAGGCCTCTGCTCATCTCCTCTTCACCCTGAACGAGTTCCTCCCTTCTTCAGCACCCCTTCCCAAGGCACACTCCGTAGGCTCATGTGAACAAATCTCCAACTCACTTGTTAAAACAGTATCACCATACAATGAAAGGTGCCAGACTCTTCCAACCAAGAAAAGTATAAGACTGAACTTTCAGCAGCTGGACAAATCAGCAGCTCAGCTCTACCTACTGCATCTCAAATAGGGGCCAGCTCCAGTTCTTCCCTCTCAACAAAAAACACCCCAGCTAAACTAGAGCTTTTCTTGCTCTGCATTCTCTCTCTTCAGCCCAAGCAGCCCAGCATCTCTCCAAGGATGACTTGGGAAGCCTGACCCCTCTGTCACTGACACTAGGTCCTCCCCTAGGGAGATAGATGAAGGGGTTTAAAAGCTATCTAGGCTGAGGAAGGAACAGAATTTTCTCTCTACTTCCTGCAAGAGTTTTCTAATCTCCAGGGTGTCATAGGAAATACACATCACCACTTCCCATGGCCAAGGGAGGTTTTGATTTATTTTTGTTGCTTTTTATTTATTTAAGTGAGCTGTGTTCAATTCCTTCACAGAACAAAAAACTCAACTGTCTTCAGGTACTGCTGGGGCTCTACAACCCCAGTAAGCAAAGGCATTTTCCTACCATCTTCAGTAAGATACTTTGTGGTCAGAGCGCTAGGATTTCAGCCACCAGGTTCCCAGCATTTCCTCCCAACTGTCCCCAAAGCAGATCCCCAATAGCCAGAGCAGACCCTGCTCCGGAAGCATCCCTGCTCCATACAGCAAGCGTAGGCACTTTGTTCAGGGTCTGAAATTCCCCTCAGTGTCAGCACCTCTGGCACACATTGCAACACTTCACTTCTGCACACTTAAAACCATCCATTAAATCTAACTCAGTTCACCATACTGTAAATGGTATTAAAAACACCAACCAAAAAAGACCTTACTGCAGAGAAAATTATTGGGAGATCCCGGAATGACAGCACTTAACAGCTAAAGCATTAGAACAGTGCTTTCTAAATAGCAAGCAGGATTGTACTTCACTAGTTAAGTACTTCACCCAAGAGGACAGAGCAACACACACATCTGAAGACAACTGTTGCTCTCAGAATTCTTATTTATTAAGAGCAGAAAGGAAATTTTGCTTAAGTTTTATACATAAAAAAGTAAACAGTAAAATCTTCTTTTTAAAGTCCTTCCACTGAAGAAAATTGAGAAATAAGTTGTCTTTTAGATAACGTTTATTTAAAAAAATAAAATTAATTGACAAAGATACCACACTATTTTGCATGCCGGTCATCCCTTCTAATTGCAGAACCCTGTTCAACATAATCTTCAGCAAGAAACTGCTTTCATCAGCAATTCTTAAGCAAATGAACCACATCAGCCTGGACTCAAACCTTGACAGCTGCTTCAGCTACACAAGCTAGTGCGATATCTGTTGTTACCAGCTCAGGTCTTTAGTAAATGAATTTCAAGTGGACACTAAACAAGTATTTCACTAAGAGATGATGAAATATTAAAATTAAAAGCAAGTCATATTGCAGCTGTAATTATACTACATTAGAAACTTCAGTTGTTGGGGATCCATTCACCATATATAGATTATTTTGTAATCAAGGTAATTACAAAGAGAGCATTACTCCCTGCATGCTTTCCTGGACTTGGAACCAACAGAGTTGACTACATGTAGAGTTGACTAGGGTGTACTTGGAATTCACTCTCTCAGGCAGGAGACTAGTTAAGGAGTGTTACTGATAACAAAGAATAAAAGTTATACAACATTGATTATTATAAATTATTTTGTTCTTATCCTCTTTTTGCCTTAGTCTCCTACACATCTTGACATCTGTTCATGTAGAAAACCAACTCTTTTCTTGTTTTTCCTTACGGTGACTCCCCATTTATTAATGGTGATTAGAATGCATTGAGGAGGACTTGATTCGGAATACGTGGATGTGCAGATGGGCAGCAATCTGATTGCAAACACTGACGCAGTATCGAAGCAAATCAAAAAGAGAAAAGATCTGCCAAAGGAAAAGAAAAGGTACACATTTAGATCTATGCTTTCAAGACAGCGTAACACTATTTGTTTGCTTCAGAAAAAAGCACTGGGGTCTTTTCAAGAGCTGGATCTCAAACTCTGTAGGAATAGACGATCATTGTAGACAGTTTCTAAAGATGCTAGATTATCTTCCAGCTTTATAAAATACAGACTAACTCTAAGGTCTGAGAGGGGAAAAGTTACAGTAGCTAAACAGACACTGAAATGCCCCATTAACTCCAAATGGGGATAACTATACATGAGCTGCCAATTTTACTAAAAGATTAACCCTGCATTTTGGTAGATACGTTGAGTGCTTGATAAGCACATACAAGTTTAATATTACAATATTTTCCCTACTGTGTGCTACTGGTAATGACAGATGTACATGCCTGGTGACATGATGATGGGGAATGGGCTAAAGTTGCACCAGGGAGGTTTAGGTTGGCTATTAAGAACTTCTTTACTGAAAGGGTTGTTAGGCATTGGAATGGGTTGCCCAGGGAAGTGGTGGAGTCACCATCCCTGGAGGTCTTTAAAAGACATTTAGAGCTTAGTGATATGGTTTAGTGGAGGACTTGTTAGTGTTAGGTCAGAGGTTGGACTAGGTGATCTCGGAGGTCTCTTCCAACCTCGGCCATTCTGTGATTCCATGAAGAGATGAAAGCACAGCCATCCTTGCACCACACATGATATATTCCCTTGCTAACAGTGCATCAACGCAGATTTTCAAAATATCCTATTCTAAGCTCTGAATATTTTCTACATTGCTCTAACACCATTTAAACTATTCAACAAGCAAACCCTGTTTACCTCTGTTTGCATAACGATACTTAAAAATCAACTCATTAAAGCAGGTTCCCAGTCCCATCATCCTCAAGATGAGTCAGCTCGGCTCAACCAACACAAACAGTATTTAGGAAAGAACACACAAATGCTTGCAGTGATTACTGGCAAACATAGTGAGTCCACACTTACCAAGGCAATCCAGAGTACAATATACTCATCAATAAAGCTGTTAAAATACTGGTCCAGAAACAATAGTGCTGGGCCTATGAAAGCTGTGTCCTGCAGATACATTTCACTTTTGGTCATATGTGCAACCTGCATTTAAAAAAAAAAAAAAAAAAAGGCAGGTTAAAAAATAAACATCCTCCAGCCAAGGTAAAATGGTTTCAAAAATGCACAAAGCCAGAAAAGTTACAGTTCAAACCACATTACTGTAATATTAGCAAATATTTAGGTAAAGTGGCAGCAGCAATACTATTTTAGCCATGGAAGTCTACAGCTAAGCGAGATGCAAGGTTTGCAGAAGTTTCCTTTCATTCAGAACAAAACATAGCTATAGAAAAAAAAAAAAATAACTTTTCCAGCAAACAACTTCTTCCTTTGCCAGAAACAAAACAGTAAAATGGAAATAGGGTGGTAAATTTTAGGTTTAGCTCAGCCTGGAAATAAAATTTCACAACTACAAGATCTTCAAAACCAGACATAATCAGTGCCCATCTCACTCCACCTATTAATTTCTGTCCTGCAAGGATAACCACCTTTCTGATTATCCTTGCAGGACAAATCAGTAAGTGGAGAGAGACAAGCACAAAAAGAGCAAGGCTTTTTATGATCAACTGCATTCTTCACACTTTCCCCAACATGCACACCTACACCCTGTGCAAAGGCTGTCCTACACCACATCCTCACTTCTACCAGCACAGCTGTTGGTGTAAATGCATAATACGCTGGTCTTGGTTAGCAATAACCTTTTCTTCCATTGTGAGTTACACCCAACACTGACTCAGTTCATGTGGCAACACAGGGTATGCCCATGCATCTGAGATGCTGTGTGGCAGTGGTTGCTTAATCCCTCATTCACTCTGTTCAACAGGGGCTCCTATGTTCCCCAGTACATCCCTATAAATGATTTTTAACCGTTAATTCTCTCAAATTGGAGAGGTTAAACCCTGAGCAACTGTTTCAAACTTCAGTTCTGTCCCTTTCTCTCCTTTCCCCAACAAACTTCCCTCCCTTCTGCACGTGCATCTGGGGAGGGTTTCAGCCAGCTCTGTTCCAGTCCTGCTCATTGCCGATGGGCACAAACACACTGCAGAATTGCAAATGAACAGCTGGGAAAGGGGAAGAAATATCTCAGGCAACCGAAAGCTGTATGGGCACTGACTGTATAACCACTGCATCAGCTTGACATTTACCTCTTCAGTTTCAAATGGAAGACAGACTCACATTCCATTCCCTGCACCTCCAAGCTACTGAAGTAAGCGTCAAATATTGTATCACTTCACCACACAAAATATGTGCAAGTTAGTTGATGGAATAACCAGGAAACTTTAAAAGCTACAAGAAGTTTTACTGTAATAGCTAGGAACTCCAGGGTTCTGGGGTACTTACCACTAGTTTGTTTGTTATCTTAGCAGATACAAAACCAAAAGTAAGTATATATAAGCAGGGGTGCCTTTCAAAGAGCTGCACAGCAGATTTCTTGTAGATCATTGCAGCTAGTGCGATTACTGACCCAATATGAAGAAAAGGTGAAAGGACACTCGTTCCCTACAGTGAGATAAAGTTAAAGAATTAGGTTGACAAAACATGCATGTTGCCAAGAAACCCCAGTAAGCCGAACATTCATGTGGTATACAGACAGGTTTTGGTTTTTGTTTATAACTAAAAGACACGTTAAAAACATGTCTTTCCACATACTAGTAATAACAGGAACAAAATGCGGTAAAACTTAAAACAGGCACAAGCTGACAATGTGGTTGAACCTTTCTTGTGCTGGGCAACAAAATAAGGTTTTTAGACAGCAAGAACTGCACAGGTCTGACACTTGCCACACAGGCAACAGTGGATGCTGTTAGCAAGCAACAGGAGACAATACTTCTATCTTTTTCTGTGCCAGCTAGAAAGCAACAAAAACAGCCTTCTAAGAAGCTGGTATAGAATGGCTTTTTGGAAAACTCCTTGGACTTCAAAATCAATTTCCTATTGTAGCAGAAGGTGCAGATACCTCCAATCATATATAATATATATATTTACAAGTAATATATTACAGATGTTCTAGAATGAGCAAAGCCATAGCCAATCTTCTTGAACAACTTCCTTCTGCACAAATTTCTGCACTTGACTTCTGTGAACTCTGTGGGAGTATGTATTCACATAACCTGTTTTATATGAGTAATTGAAAAATAAATATCAAAACACTAAAGCATTTTAATCGCTCAGTTTTAAAACTCTTGACTTCTAAAACAACTATTCTTATGCAGACAATATTAACTTTTTCCCCCATACCATCATGGAACTGAACAGAAAATATTTCACACAGTGGAGGTATGTCAAATAACAACTGAAGTCATAGCTGGAAAGCCACAGAGAGTGCTACAGAAGAACTAAAAGCAGCAGAACTAAGTACTCACTGCTATAGTGGATCCATTTTTGCCAACTCCACCTGTGAAGATTACACCAAAGTAGTTTGTACAGGAGAAGAACGTTCCTGCGACAGTACAGAGAGCCGGGAATATTTTCACCTGAATATTCAGTATTGGAATCTTTAATGGAAGAGATGAAACAAGTTAAAAGATGCACAAGTAAACTAAAGCAGGGTTTAGTACTTCTAGCGTACTCAAGCACTCCACTTTCCAACACCACATTTGATTTTCTTTCTCTGCTACACAGAGATTTAAATTTTTACAAAGCACAGAAAAATATGTATTTTTCCAATAATACTTCCATAAAGCTTCCCACATAGTTCTTTTCAGGTAACTAAAGGTGAGTCCCACTATCAAAAGCAAAGAACTGGTAGAAACTAAAAGCTCCCTAGCTAATAATTCATCCATCAAGAGAAATGCGTCAGTAATCTTTTCTGAAACTGGCTGGAAAACTCACAGCTGCCACCCAAGATCACTTGGGCAAAGCAAGAGGCATTGGAGATGATTAAACAAAGACCGTTCAGAAACTGGATTCTACCTTACAGGCAAGACAAGGGGAACAAACAGATCAGACAAGTCATCTCGGAGTCAAGCAAGCGATTGGGTTGCTAAAGATAAAAAAAAAAAAAAAAAAAGAGCGCAGTCAGATCTGAAAGGCAATCGTTTTCTTCATGTAACAGCAGTCTTGTGAGTAGAACAGGGGAAACCAGAAATGAAGAAAAAGTTCAACATAAGCCACAGCAAGCACGTTATGGAAGCAGGTGCTGAGACAGAGCTACCTAACAAAGGTTTTCCAGATTCTGTCTATGCAACCACTGAAAGTCTTCTCAGGCTCTAAATTGAGGATCTGCAGTTGTAGCCCTCAACTGAATGAGCACAATCAGCTCCCCAGCAATATGTCTAACTACAGCCCAAATGAGGTTAGGTTGTTTTTATTTTACTTCAGTTACACTCAGTGTAGCTTTTCGTAGATAAAGATTACTATTTTTCTATTTTTAATCATCTTCTGCTGTGCTTAAAAGCTTTATGTCTTGATCTTCTCAGGAATATGCCTGGCACAAGAGGCAGAGCCAGCGTTAACTCTTGGTGCCTTGCTTTGGGGCAGCCTCCAGATGAGCACCCAGCCCACTCCTCCAAATCACCGCCAACTTCCAGCTGGACAGCGTGGTTTCATGACACTCCAGCATATTTCACCCTTGCTTAGGCCAAATATTCAGTATGGGATCAAAAGAAAAGCATCGAAGAAAGAATAACTATTAAGCAAAAGACAGAGGTCCAAGCTGTGGCAATCTAACCGAAATAATCCATGAATGTTACAAGGCACAGCACTTCTGAAGGTCTCACCTCCGTCTGATAAAGGAAGGCACTTAAGGAATGGGGTGAATTTGCTCATCTACAGGAAAAGGAAGGCAGTCATGAGCCTCATACAGCAATCAGGAGATTAAAGTTGAGGTTTTTCAAAGAAAAAGGGATTCGTTGGGGGAAAAGGTGTCTCCAAACTACTACTAACACAGCTGAGACTGATGCTCAGGAGAGGCAGAAGGATGAGCCCATACTGCTATAACATCCAGTTTTGCTAGTTACACCTTAACATATTTTTGTTCCATGACAGTTGCATCATTGACAGGTATTATTTCTGCCAGGTAAGTGCAGTCTAAGTAAAAGGAAACAAAGCTACATACAAATATTTGGCAACAGCAGGTCACGGGAGAATTATAAAAATGCAGTGCCTACTAAATTGCCTTGTGTACAAAACAGAAGCAGCAAGGGCAAGGAAACAGCATGGAAAAAACTGAGCGGAGGGAGGGATGGAGTCGTGCTCAGAAATTATCTTAATTATCTTACATGCTGGCATTGCAAGCCCCTGGCTTTTTTAATAAGAGGACACCATAGGACAAACAACAGGACCTCCTTGTCTGGCATTCCATCGTTACCATCACTACTGTCCATGCAATCATTCTGATTTCACTGGTAATTATATGAGCTTCATCAGAAGTCAGAAGCAGGCAGAACTTCACAAGACGACATCCACAATGCAGGAAAGCATCACAAACCAGGTCTTCTACAGACAAGTTATGTTCTCTGTTAAATCCTTTGGAGTTGAAGAGAAATGCTACATTGCACAGAAAGCCTTTGAAACAGGGCATATGCCCTGATTTAGCAAGCACACCAAATTTTGACTGGAAAAAACCACGCGTGTTAATAAAAACAAGCAGCAGCAGGCAAAAAATAGATTAAAGAACGCTTGCTACAGAATGGATTAAAGTAAAACATCCAACAGAAAAATGAATTTGAGGCCTCTAAACTCCTTCTTGATTCTTCTAGATGCCATCAGTTTTCTGTAACACATGAATGGATTAAAAAAAAGGGTAACAGAACAAGAGCACATCCGGGCTTAGGGAAGCAGCAGTGACAAGCAGATAGGAGAGCACACATCCACACAGTGGCACTTTCTTGGCTAGCTCAGTCAGACACCACAGCCAGCTGTGCAATCACTGCCTCCTGCTGCTCCTTCACACAAAGCTGGGCTCCAGCTGCAGTTGAGCTGTAGGCATGTGCGCTTCAGTCACATCTGCAAGAGGAACAACTCGGTGGGCAAAAATCAAGCTTGCTTTATAGTTGCGAAGTTTGTATTAAGTCATGGAATAAAGCGAAAGCAATTGCAGCACTTTTCTCACTTCAAATGAGGAAGAAACCCTTCATTTAATCAATGCATCAAAGAAGCTGCACCAAAGCTTGCTCACATTTTACAAGTGAGGATCTCAGCTGCAGCACTACTCACCATCCACTGAAATTACCAAGCTCCAGGAGCCTTGCAGAACAGCATTTTAACACACTTTAAAGAAAACCTACACTGACAAAGAAGGAAGCCAGTACAGGTATCCACTATTTTGCAGAGAAAAAAAAAAAAAGCTAATGAAAGCAATTGACAAAATACACAATTTTGCATTCAGCAAATTCAATTTTTTTTTTCATGTTAGTATTAGAAAGTGGAATGTTTGAGTATACAAGTTTTATTCCATTAAATTCCCCCAAATAGAAACAAATCAATAATACCAAACCACCAATTTTGCTGTCACAGGAAACATTAAAGGAATACAGGCACTTTTTTTCTGATATATTTTGCTCTGTAAGTAATAAAGTGCTTTATTTCTGTGAATAAAAACAAAAATCAAGTTGAATGAAAAAGGAAAAATCTTAATTGTCATAGGAAACTTGATGAAATTTGTTCTCTAGAGAAATGCCTCCATAAAACCAACACTAGACTTCAAAATATTTTAATCATTTGGGAATTTACTTAGCCAAATGCTGCTACAACACAGAACTTCAAATATATTAAGATTTTACTGAAAAATGTTTAATAGCACAAGGGAACAATTATTAAGCTCTTGCACAAACTTCATCCTGAACTGAATTGTGCCAGAGCTTGCTGTTGCAGCAATTTTTTTCCCCCCCTCCTCTTTTTAAAAAAAAGGGAAAAAAGGAAAGTAACAGCATGAATTGGGAAATCCCTTTTTGTGGTGCCTAACAATAGCTGTGTGGATGTTGGCCACACTGATCTCTTTGGAAGAGTTTGGCACCAATAAGCCAACTCGCAATCTTGTTTTTTAAGAGATAATTCTATCCAGACATACTCTTAAGGCAGGATGCACTTTGCAGCTTAGTTTGTGTGGGTAGGAGAATGTTGGTGGCTTTCAATGTTTTTTTTTTTGTTTGTTTGTTTTTTTGTGTTTAACCTGAAAGTACAACATGTAGCAAAATTGAGGTAACCAAGGTTAGCTTCTTATTCTAGATATTTTCTACAGCATTAGAGGGTTCGTTTCTCTAGTTTTATGAAGCAGATTAGAAATTCAGTGATTTGGGGATGACAAGTTTCAGTAATTTTTGACCATCTCTTGGTTTTATTCTTTTACTGCAAATCAAGATTTCTTTATCCACCTTAAGAACTGGGTTCATCAAGTACACAAACAAGATTAATACTCAGGAAGCTTTCCAGGAAATGAATCATTTAGAAGCTATTTCTCAACTTCTGTTTTGTTTGTGATATATGTACAAAATGTATGTACATACATACTTTATCTCAGTAATGCTGTATTCAAATGCCCAGTGGGGCTTCATGAGTGCTAATATAACAATATATAAAATATGACAACGTTTAAGACAACATCAACTTGCAACAGCATATAAGCTGCCAGCTGATTTAGCCAGGTGAGCCTCTACAAAGTCCACAGGATCTCTAGCTTCCTTGATCTGAATGATCCTTAAAAGAGCCACATGGCTATTTGTTTTTTGTTTTTTTTTTTTCCCCCCTCCTCCGTAAGAGCTGACTAGCACGCTCAAGCTGAATTATCTCCTGATGGTTACACCAACTGCTTGCTCTCCAAGAATCTCCCCCATACCAGCAATCCAATTTAGTATTCTTCTGTTCCCGATTTAGCTTGCTGCATGAATTCATTCAAGTTTTGGCCAGCTCACTCAAAGGAGGCTGGACGTCAGTGAAGGTATATTAAGTTTGTAAATGTTTGATAACTTTCTACCTGCAAAATAACACAAGATTTAGAATAATAGTTTGTTTGAACAGCTCCGGGAAAACCAGAATGCATGGTTATTGCCATTTGCTCCATTCTCAAAAGTATGTATTTACTATGAGGAAAAGTAAGACCCTTCCCTCATAAGTGAAACCATGCTACTGCAGGCAGGTAGTTCTTCCAGGTACATACTAGATTATTAAAAAAGGATAAATTAATTTAAAAAGGATAAAATAAGAACATGAACAAAATTACCAGAGATTGCCAAAAAGGCGGTCCTCCAATCACTGCCAGTAAATGCATGATTATTATGAAGATTTGCACTTCAGTCACATCAATTCTGATTAGGTACAAAAAGCCAAGAAAAGCAGAATTATTCAAAGCAATTTCAAGTCAATTATTTGCAAGCTTGGCAGCTCTCCTCTATCATGCACAGTATAAAAACTTGAAAACACAAGGAAAATAGAAGACATCAATACTTTGGAAAGCAAAAATATATTTTAGTTTTCTTGTTAAAAAGTAAGAGCCATGCTGTGCTATACTTTTTTTTTTTTTTTAATTTCACAATGCAATAAAAATCCATTTTATCAAAAGGAACTGTTGGAACTTTTTACCTGGCCATTGTCAGTCACAGGAATAAGTGTTCAGTTTTAACCTTGCCCACCAAAACAAATTGATTCCAGATTGTAAAATTCATTTAATATTTTTAGTCATTATTAAATTCCCTATATTTATTTTTAAATGAATGTTCTGTCCGAAAAGCATCAAGCTTGAAAACAAAACATGAATTCCTGAAGACCTGATGCACATGTAAACTGTACAATCAGCTGCATTGCTAGAGATTACACACTTCAGTATCCAGCATGCAGCAAGAAAAGAAACCACTTCTGGTTTTAGCATAGCCAGTATCTCTTGTAGAAGGGCAGGAAGGAAAGGCTTATAGAAAAGACAGATTTTAAGGCATTGTTTAAAAGATCATACAAAGTCTGAGATAGCAAGAAGGAAAAGCAAGGCCACATGAGTCAATTCCAGAAACAGGAGTCAAAGGAAAAACATAAAATACAATGAGGATGGACACGTGGGTGTTTATCAAGCTATGTAATATTGTCTCATGCTGGAATACTGCATCAAAAATAATCCTTTGGGCCAACAGGAAATACTTATGCACATACATTAGCTCTAATCACACAGTTCTGCCTAAAAGACTCAAAATCACTTGTGAATGCATGCTTAGCTCTTTTAAGGGTACTGTTGAAATTGGTAACAGCTGCATAGGCTGAGTGAAGAGTTTTTTTGTGTTTTTTTTTTTTTAAATGTTTGTTTTAAAAGAGCAACAAGACCACATAAGCAAGTTTAATATCATGCCTGTGTGGGCTGTCTCAAGTTCCTTCTACAGCCTTTGTTCCAGCTTTAGAGCAGATCCTGTCACATGAAGATCTCCCAGCCTGGCTAAAACACATCTTTGTTGCAGCAGCAGCGCACTATGCACACAGGAAATGCCCAGGAAGGACCAAGCCAGACTGAGCATATAGCAGGGAAGAGTTTGGTCAAAGCAAAAGGTAGAGAAGATGCCAATAAAACATCGGATTTCCATGCTAATTCTAAAACCCGGGAGGAAGCAATTTGCAACTAATGTGTTTGCGTGTCCAACCAAGGAAGGGCTGAAGAAGCTCAGTTAACCTGCACAGGTTAAACACGAAGCTGTTTCACTACTTCTGGCAATGACCTTAGATGAAAATAAAGCAACTGAGAAAGCTCAGACAAACAGTGGCTAGTAATTAGTGTACATAATTCAAGTTTGCAGCTTTCCTTGGACATTAAAACAGGTTTCTTTTGACTGCAGTCAGTGTAAATGAAGTACGGTCACGCATTAGAAAACATCTCCGATTACAGAAGATGAGGTCTTCCGAAGGAACTCTTAACCAAAACTGGGAGCCAGACCAAATCTGCAGAAACAGCTCCTGAATTCAGGTTAGGGAGACAGCCCTGTCTTGCTTAGACACAGCCATGGCACAACCTTCACTCCATTGCCCTTAGGTCTGCCCCTCTCCAGCTCAAATAAAAATGGTTAGAAAGGGTTCAGCAATGAACTACAAGCCTGTTTGGTTAAAAAGTCCTCTCTGGCTTGCAGTAAGAATCTCATATTGCAGAACAAATGAGTTTTAACTTCAATTCTACATAAAGAGATAATTTTTAGCACTAGACGCCTCCTTCAGACAGAAGGCAAAGATACAAGAATCACTCAAGCTACCTCTACGAACAGTCATGAGTGTTTAAAGTGCAAGTTTTTAATGTTGAGGGTGACAAGTGACTGTGAACATCTTACCTAAAGGGGATTCTCTTATCACCTATACTAATTAAAATCACTACTGGATGACTTTTTAGAGGATACACTGTATCAATGGGGTACAAGCCTGATACTGGAATTACCCAGTTAATTATTATTAATTATTTATTTTTACAGAATACTACTGCCAGACGGCCAACACCTAGAAACCTCCAAATAGAGGAATCCAGCTGGGCAACTCCTGGAAACTAGACCACAAAATGGAACAATATTAGGAAACTGGAGCTGGGTAAAAAGGGAAAGGAGCCATGCTGTTCCTCTACTCATGTAACTAGGATTCATGCCGTAGATGCACAAAGTGGAAGCAATCCAGGCTGCTTTTAAGAGGCGCAGTACTCCTGGCATCTCCAAAGGCCAGCCACTTTCTCCCCCAAAACCCAGCTGCCCAGGTCTGCTTTCCCCTTTGTGCCAGCCCTCACACCATTGACTGGGTCAGGAAATTGGCTCAGCTAAAGTGACCCAGCCAAAAAAAGAAAAGGACAGAGTCCCTACCCCAGTTTCTAGCATATCAGCTTTCCTTATGCTGAGTGGGTGGCCCCAGGAATGACGCAAGCAGTGCAGAGGGCAGGGGAAGGTCTGCACGGCCTCTCTTGGCAGCAGGACTGCACGCTGGGGTAGAGCACACGCACAGCTCCAACTACAAGGGAGAATAAGTGGGAATGAGTTCAGGCTTCTGAATGTAATGCAAGTGGCCTGCTACTGTTCATAAAAGCTTTAAATGTATCACAGTAGTAAAACAAATTGAAAGAAAATACTCTGCAATTTAAACTAAAGCAACAATGGTTTTTGTCAAGAAAGCTACTGAGAAAAGGCAAGGCACAGCACTGCCTGGAAAACATGAGCAAATGCCAGGCAATCTGGAGGACATTCATTCCTAGACCTTAATGATTAACCTGTATTTATGAATTGCTTCAAGATAAAATGTGCCACTAAAAACCGTCCATAAACTGCCTCAGTCATCATATTGTTTTTAAGCTCTGGTAGAACTGGAAAGGTACCTAAAAGCGACAAGACAAAAGCTGTGCAGCAGGGAAAGCTGCTTGAACATAGACTAAAGCCTTTCTGAACTACCCATGCTGACCTTTTGAGTAAAACATATATGTAGTCTGCTTTGAGGGTTAGGGAAATTATCTGCAAAGCAGGGGGGTGAACAATTCCTGCCTAAGTATTCCGTAAATAGAGCCTTTTTATTTTTAGGCAAAGTTCTGTTGCACGTTGAAGCGCTTCTTCCTATGATACGACTGCAGAAAGTGTGAGCTTGAGTCATGGATTATTTATTGACCAACAGCAGAACAATATTTTAGCTTGAAAGTAAAAAGATAGGTGACATACCACAAGGAGAAAAAGAAGCTTTTGGCAATCAAAACTGGGGAAAAATCCTTGCACACTGCAGACCTGCAATGCTATCACTGCAGCTGGGCAGATGGACGCCCCCAGTAGCCCCGTGCCATACACAGGCTGCAGGAAAGCAGAAATATTTCAAAGCAAGAAGGGAATCAGACAGTTCAACGTCTGACTCATTTTTCTCCTTGCATTTGTATTTTACTTGTTTAAATGCTACAGTGGATATCCTAAGAAAAGCAAATGGAAAAAGCAAGCAGCCTAAGTTCTGCAGCTCAAGTAAGGGGGTTCCTAAAGCCTCTGAATTGGGATATTTTCAGCAGTCACTTGGGCCACACTCCCCGTAACCTGACAGCTTTTTGTCTGATGTGCCTTGATGAACTGACTCATGGCAGCACTGCCCAAACAGTTTATGTTGCTAGGATGATGCAGAGACATATCATAGCAGAGCCCTAATACCTATGAAGTGAGGAAAATGAAAGACGTTTCCTTGAGACATGCCCACACTACAACAGATGGATGTAAAGTTACTGCAACAGTTCCTCAACGCACACAAAGCAGTCTAATTCCAAAGACCACCTTTTCAAATAAACCAAGGGCCTTTTTCATCTTCTAGAAAATAAACAGAAGACCCTAAACCAGGCTTTTAAAAATCAGCAGGAACATCCAGGCAAAGAACAAAGATCAGACACTGAAGCTATAACCAGACTCAGTAGTTTAACACAAACCCAAAATGCCTAGACAGAACATTTAACTGCAAGCCTGGGAAAAACACTGAAAGTGACCTGAAAAACACTGATTCCACAGCAAACTGATGTTAAGAAGGAACAACAAACAGCACCTCTGCAGAGCAGAGGACAGCAGGGACTAAGTCAAGCAATATCAACAATGGCAGCAGGTATCAGTGAGAACTAAACAAAGATTGTAAGTGAGAACACCCAAGTGTTTCAATTCAGATAAAGTCAAAAGCATGAAGTTGTGCATTTTTAAATGCACTTTTCATCCCTTGCTGCCTGTCTGCCCACATTCATTAAGACAGCAGGATGTAGCAGCATGCCTCTGTAGCTGCAGAAGGCGTTCTCCAACTCCTGCAGTGAGACTGCAATGAGTTTACCAGAAGTTGCAATGCATTTTACTTGGTAATCTGTCCTTCCCTGTCAGGCCAAACATAAATGTGGGTTACTTATGTTTTCTATCATAACAGAAGATTATCAAGAATGCAATTATTTTAACATTTTCTGTAACAGGCTGAGTATTTGCCAGGTCCATCCATTCATCTTCAGCTCCCTCATTTGTGAATCCACTAGACATAACATGTATCATGCTGAACTGTAGTATCACAGTTATAACTGCCCACTTCTGGTTCACAAAAAACACCTAAGTGTGAGGTAAAACATTACAAGCACTGAAGGATGACACTGCAGAGCTGCAAGAGGTAGGTATGCAGAGCTGAGGCTCTTCAGAGATCTGCAGCATGCTCACACTCAAATACAGCAAGTCTGTTCTAACATAATTCCCAAAGTGTTTGAGGTTTTTCCTGCTTAAAAAGCTAGGTGATAGTCTCAACAAGTTTATCCAAAGGCTAATAAAAACATAAGCAAACCTCATGAACAGTTTTCAGGATTTTGCTCCTTGATTAATTAAAACATGCT